TGATTTTAGGATTTGTCACAGCACTGTATCAATGAAGAAGAAAACAACAATCACAGAGCCACATGGATGATCAGAGTGACTTGTATATCTTGAATGGTTAGTTGATTACCTCATTCATATTTAATAATCTCAATTCATTACTTATGAATTTGATAAAAACCTCATATGACAACTTTATCAACAATCATGTTTGTCACAAATTTGGTTTCCCCTCACCTGTGATAAATTTTAAAATATATGTTCATTTTATACAGCATTATGGAAGCAAAAATGGATGCCAACACCAACAGCCTTTTCTTTAAAAGTACAGGCATGATACGTAATCCTCTTTCATCTGTTATCTTTGAGTGTGTAGTTCATTACAATTTTTATAAACCATTTTCCACTAACAATTAAGCCAATCAATTTTTATCTAAACAAACTTTACTGAACCTAATCAATTATGCAACTGTTACACAATTACAAAACACTTTAACACAGTAAGAGTAAGCACCTAAGAACACACATATAAACTTGACAGAATCACATTTCAATCTAGGCAAAATACTTATAAATACCTGAATGCGGTCGCTTTCGACCGATTATCACTGACTTGGTCAGCCTAGGCATTGACAAAGACTGCGGAAATAAATTAGTAACTTCTCGCTGCACACACAACTTGCCAACCTAAAATCTAGGTTAAGAAAGACATGTAAATCAAATTACAAAGCTGCATATACATAAATAGTTTAAAGAAATCTTATTCATAACAAAAGGATGAAAAACCAAGACATGAAACAAAAACATAAATATTCAGATATAATAAAAGCCATCAACATAACAGGCAAAACATTAGCTCTTTTGACCATTTGGGGGCCAAACATATAATAGTAGTACATTAGCCACATTTAGCACCATCCATCTCTGAACACAGCAAAACAATTCCCCCAAAGTAAAGTTTACATTTGATTAACATCATTTTGCTAGCCAACTGAAATCCAACCCGACCACAAAATCTGCGTTGAAGTAACGCCGGTTCAAACACACCGCGCGCGCGGAACGCCTTGGGGCAACCTGTTCAGGCAGATCATTGGTGGGGGTCTCTGAGTTGTTTCCCAAGGCATTACCGACAGATTCAAAGGACCACCCAAGAGCTGGATCTTCGTACATAGGGGACATAGGTGCCGGCGAAGGGAGCGTAGCTGTGGGGGGGCCTCCCTCAGTCACATAATTCATCAAATTTTTTTGATAACACACCAAACAAAACCCAAGATGAACACAACCACCAACATTCACAGTATGAATATCAGTTTCAGGGAACATGTAAAAACATTTTTGACATTGTCTTATAAGACAACTGCCATCAACACCACCGCCAAAATAAACAACAGATTCAAAGGCCCCATACAGCTCAGAATCCTCGTAAGTAGGGGACATTGGCGGCAGCGAAGGTAGCCAGGGTGTGGGGGCGGGGGCACCATCAATGAGAAAATCCAACTCAAATTTTTGATAACACCAAAAACAAAACCCCAGATGAACAACCCCCACAGTACGCATGTCGGTTTCGGGGAACATGCCAAAGCAGCGTTGACACTGTCTTATTAAACAACCGGCAGACCCACCGCCACCGTATCCAACAAAGCCTGCCACAGTTGCCATTCCTTGTTTCTTCTATGCCAATATGAAAACAAAATTTGATGTAGGGAACTTTAGAAACCTTGATGTTCAGCACCAGGAACTGATCTAAAAAATAAGTGTAGAACTTCTGTTGACATTATTAACAAAGTTAACATTTTTTAGTATCAAAAATAGCCCCATCCGCAAAAGTATTTCGAAGTGTTTAAGGCTTCAAAAGGAAAATTTGGCCACATTCAACCCAAATGTTTTATTGCTTGAACCTCCATTCTCAAATATCACTTGTATTATGAAATGAGTCCCACCTTTGACCATTTTTAGAGACATTTAAAATGATTCTCACCCTTGTCAATTAGAAGTGGTATTTAACATATGAGTAAACTGAAAAGGTTTAAATTAAACACCATGGAAAAATTTTTATTCATGTATAGGGCAGACCAACAAAAAAAAAATAAAGATCAGCCCAAAAAAGTTCAACCCACAACCTAGTGAGACTACTGAGAATTTTGTAGCTAAACTGAAAGACGAAACACTGAAATAGGCTGAAAGTAGATGAAACCCTAACTTCATTATTAAGGAGGGTAGAAATTTTACAACCATTGACTATTGTAACTCACCTAAACAATTAAGCTTAAGTTCACAAAATGTTGATGGAGGCTACAGCAAGCTATACACCAAGACATAAGCAGTTGTGTTTTAGATTGATTTTTCTTCCACCGAGATACGTGTATATATATATATCCTCTAAGTAAAATCAAAGCTATCACATTACAGGGTTTAGAAGATCATATGAAATCTGTAAAGGATCTGAAAAACCAAATTTTTGGTGAAAGAACAGCAAAACGCAATCATTACCTCCACCCAGCCCACATATATCAAACCAAAACACTGTTTCCTTTCTAAAAGTAACCAATGGGGTTATTTTTATCCCAGGAATGTCATCATTAATCCTCAAAAGGTTAATGTGGCTAATTATATACCACAAGGATAACTGACAGGGGTAGATTTACACGGCATGCCCATCCCCTGCACTGTTGTTATAAAATAACCCAATTTCAAATGTATGGGAAAATTGCCTCAATAATTTTGTTCGAAATTTTACAAAACCCAACTTCTTTGGGCTGGTGTATTTTGGAATGAATTATGAAGACATTGCCAACAAATTGTTATCACTTACAATTTCATAAAAACCAAAAAAAATTCACAAAAGAAATTAATGTTTAAAATTTTAAGCAAAGATATAAAACCTGACAAACATTGGTGTGGCATTGAAAACAATTATAATTTTCTATATGGTAAAACCCATTACACAATTGCGTTTCACCGTGAAGTTTTAGAAAGTGAATGCAATGTTGTGAAGTTCTCTTAGTTTCAATGCATTTTTAATTTGTTGTCAATCGACATAATACCAAGGGGTTATCTTATATTCATTATTACCAACGCATATTACAAATACTGAGGTATTATCAAAACAGTGCTTTGGTTTTACTAAGGGCACTGTGTTATTATACGCTATCTGTTATTAGAGCTGCCTAGTACAAAGAACTGCCCTTGTCATGGCAGCAATTCAGGGGGGTGGGTGGGTGTTGGTAGAGAATTACATGCATTACCTGTTAATAGAACTGCCCATGGATGTTTCGTTTAACATTTGCTAATGAAACACACATAATCGGAGTGTACTGCCATATCTATCCTTGTTAATAGAACTGCCCATCGATGTTTCATTTAACATTTACCTCAATTCTAACACTTTGTACATCAAATTTATCAGCTCCTGATGATGTTCTGCATGTTGTGATTTACAGTAAAGTTAAAAATTCATCATTCTTAACCTCAAATCTACATAACCAAATTAAATCACTTTGAACATAGATTTAATGAAATCCATCAAACTCCTAGGTTTTATTAATGACACACGCAGATATACAATAGATGAATGTGCTATTTGGACCAGTTCGGTTTTATACTAATGGCATACGCACATAATCCCTTTTTTAAAGTAAGGTTGACCCTGAAAAATATTCTAATAGTGAAAAATTTTATAATAGGGACTATAAATTCTGGATTCCCAAAAAATATTCTTTCAACTTTATTACTACCAATCAATTTTAACGTTTCCAAACTCGACATAATACTAACAAATATGTTATATTTATTCATTATATTCCTTCTATATTAGATCGATTAAATGTTTTCCATCAGACTCCATGTTTGATATTAATGAATAGGCTTTGTTACAAATACGATTGAGCATGTTAGAACAGTTCGGTATTAACTTGAGTTCTAGTAATATATGTACCCTGTCTAAACTTTTGGTATTAGCGTAACAGTACTATGGTTTTAGCAATTGTATTGTGTTAATGAAAAGTATCTCTTATTAGAGCTGCCTAGTACAAAGAACTGCCCTTGTCATGGCAGCAATTCAGGGGGGTGGGTGGGTGTTGGTAAAGAATCACATGCATTACCTGTTAATAGAACTGCCCATGGATGTTTAGTTTAACATTTGCTAATGAAACACACATAATCGGAGTGTACTGCCATATCTACCCTTGTTAATAGAACTGCCCATGGATGTTTCATTTAACATTTACCTCAATTCTAACACTTTGTACATAAAATTTATCAGCTCCTGATGATGTTCTGCATGTTGTGATTTGCAGGTTGACGATGCCAATCCGCAAAAACTCGCCCTCAAGGATGTCCCTGTTTCTCTTTTTTTTGTGTTGCTAATTTCACTAAATATGATGTAATAATTAGACTTAGGCTAGACTTAGGATGTTCCTGTTCAAGCCGCACCCAGGTATGTTCATCCATACTCATCAGTCTTTAATTTATCCCCGTTGTTGTTTGGTTACACACTTACACATATTATTACGACAAATCTTTTCTATTGGATTACAACCAAAAAGTTTTTGTGTGAAACCGTTTCAGCAGTTTTGGATTGGTGCACACACTATTATATAGCCCCAGTTTTTTTTCAAGAGTTGAAATTCTCAAACAATTTACTCTTCATAGACTCTGTTATACACCCCCGGTTTATTTTCAAGAGGGTTGAAATTATCAAGCAGTTTAGCATTTATAGATTCTATTATATACCCCCTGTAAAATTTTGCAACATTCAAAATTCTCAAATAGTTAAATCTGTTTTTAGTTTCTCAACATACATTAACTTTTTCATAGCATACACTCTCCATAGGGACTTTTTAGTATCGTCCATGCATAGCATATGATTTACTTGGATTTGCCAACTGTCCTATACTCCTATTGCCAAATATCCAAGGCCATTATGAAACACCATAACGCCTTGGACAAAATGATTTGACAATCCATGTATAAGGACACTTTCACTGCATAGTCTGGGTTTAAGAGTGATGTAAAGAGGTAAGCAGCACACAAAATTACCCATAAATATTTTACATTACATCGCAACCATACATTAATATTGGAGTAAAATACATAGACCCAACATAGAGTTCATACATTTATTATATATTTTACATTAGATGGCGTTCATACATTAATATGGAACACACATATTTCAACTTAGATATGCATCATTCAGTAGGATAGGAGGGGGTATCTGCGTTATAAATATCACACTTTAGGTAGTGTGTTAATAGCTAACAAAATACAAAAAAAGGGTAACATTGGAGACGTTGACCACATGTATCGCATCATATCTTTTCTTGATAACATTCTCCACCTTGCAGGTTTTATTTAAGGTCTTCCCCAAAACACTTATTAATATCCAACGCAAACCCCAAACTTATTACTAATCCTTAGGATAGCATTACTTTTTAGATCCCTCGATCTTGATTCCCTTCATCTTTTTGGGTGGCACGTTTTTAGTTGCCTCGGTTGACGATGATTCCCCAAACAGATTCCTCTTGATCCTCTCGGTATCAACTTCCAGGGCACTTCTCTGCTCCTTGTCCAGTAATAATGGACTGTTCGAATTTACCTGCTCTGAAGACACAACCTGGAATGGAGACGTAGGTCGTCAATTGACAGCACCTTAAAATTGATGCCAACATATAAAAAAGAAAAGTGCGTTTACCCTTTCTCCACCACCAAACTCCCTCTTCAACAGATAAAAATCATCCTCCTCCTGTTTAAGCAAACAAACACATTAACATACATAATTCATTGAGGATAAATGCCACAAATACTTGAAACGCTAGAGTGAAGTTTAGACATGGAACCTCTGTTGATGTGGTCTCCGTCACATAGAGTGAGATAACTCTAGGGTCAGTATTCATTCTAAGAACGCTGTAGGTCTGATTACCCTTGAAATTTCTGCTGTCACGTTTATATTGAACGCGGAACAGGGCCTTGATGTCCATCAAGGCATTGATCTCGGAAGGGAAATAATTGGGTCCAAAATTCCTCTACACAAAAAATGAGAAGTTCTTAATGTGTCCCGAAAGGTAATGAGAAAACTTGGCAAAAAGTTTTAACAAAATAACAATTTGACCTTATTTACTTGTTCTTTCAACGACGTAGCAGATCGCCCAATCAAGCACGACACCTCTCTGTCCCAGAGCAGAAAGGACGCGTGCGAAGTTGTATCGACCACTCGAATGTTGACCTTGTACCTACACCAATAATATTATTTAGATCCAATAAAATTAAGTAATGAAAGAGGTTTTTATGAAACAACACCTCAAAACAGCGTCTGAGGAATTGCAAGAGAGGCATTGAAACCCGTCACCATTGGGAGTCACTTTACGGTTACAACCAATGCACGAAACATAAGACCACTCTTTGTGGTTATCAATGCCAGCAATCTCTCCATATATCCAGTGCTTTCCATCCTTATTAAACCATATATACGAAGTCAGTTAAAGCCTGGTTAAAAACCTTAGATTGCTAAAGCCTATATTAAATAAGGGCCTAACCTCTTCCATTTTAGTGAGTTGCTCAATAGTTACCAACTGAATCTGACCCGAACCAATGTCAGCGTCATTTGAGGTATCAGATGCAATTGTGAAGCTCAAGCCTTCCCCACATCTGGAAGCCATTTTTGTTTTAAAGTCGTTGAACTCATCCTCCACACCGTTAAGAATAACCTTGGTTGTATTAAACATGTTGGATACATGCACTTGCCCTGATTTTATTTAAACAAAAAACATTAGCAACTATATTTACTTGCGAAGCAGCATGTAAATATCAAGGAAACAAATACCTTGGTATTTTTTAGCCCTGCAGCATTGAAGCAACATGACTATGGGTTCGCCCGTAGTTAGTTTGTACGACAACAACATATCAACCATAGGACCCCAAAGAGTGCATCCAATGACATTGCCCCTTTTAAAATAGCATTAAAAGTATTAGAGAAATTGTAGTGGTGAAACTGTATGTGAAAAAACTGTATTTACAAAGTTACTAACTCTGTATCTCCAAGGATTAGCTCAACCAATTTTTTAGGGCGATCGTTTTTTAGAATTGTCTTGGGATCCTTGTCATGAACGACTTGTCCAATGATATCTGCTATATGACAAATATAAGTATATTACACAATGGACATAACACGGCATTGATTAGGAACACACAATAACGTATTTACAAACTGACCAATCGCTGCCCTGTCGTCGATAGTGTCTTGCGCTTGCAATGCAGCGAAGGACACCAACGAAAATGTCCTCAAGGGAAACGGAACCTTGATTTCAAATGCCTCACTCTTTTTGAAGAAGCGTAGCCTATAAGCGCTTGTAGTGGTTTTGAAAAACATGAAATTTTCTTCCACCATAAAATTTTTTATAGCATACACACGGCCTTCCCTGAACAGCCCAAAAAATTTTGCAATGAATTGATCAGGGATGTGACTGTGAATCTTAGAACCCTGAAAAAAAAAAATATATTATGATGAAAATAGTGACATGGCATCTTGAATAAAAATGAAAGGTATTTACAACACCTCTTCATCATGGAATATGACTTCCATAGAAGGGGGAAAACCATCATGTGCGGGTTCTCGGTAAACCCTTGTAGCCCGGGCCTTTATGGCCCATGTTGTTTTTGTTTGATCGAGCTGCCTAATCATAGACCACATCCCTACCATTTTTTTCAAATGACTCGCCAAGCACAAAGATGTTTTTTGTGATGTGGATGAGGATTGTGCTTGGACCCCCTCCTATTTATATAGGTTGTTGAGCCCACAAACATTTAATCAAGTAACTATTCCACCACCCATTCTAACCAATAAAATCAAGGAAAATAAAACATGTGATATGGTGTTGTACGTCCAGATCTTGCCAACCAAATTCAACCAATAGGATTATTTTGCCCAAATTAATTGACACAAATATTGGTTGTGGAGCCGGAAACATTAAATCAACTAACTATTCCACCACCCCTCCAACCAATGAGAATAAAGAAAAATAAAAAATGTGATATTGTGTTGTACTTTCAGATCTTGCCAACCAAGTTCAACCAATAGGATTATTTTGCCCAAATTAATTCTCACCAATTTTGGCTGTGGAGCCCATAAACATTAAATCAAATGACTATTCCACCACATAAAGTGATAAATTGATTTGGTAATTGTTTTTGATGTTGTGATGATAAAAGCATGATGTTGACACAAATGGGAGGGAACACTATTCACATAAAAACCTTCTCTTTAGATATTAATAGATGTTTTGGATTATTTAAAATGGTGTTTTATAGCCAAGTGTTTTTTTGCTTTAAATATAATTCTATGAACATGTGGACCCTCTTTGTTTATTTAACTTGAAGTATGTCTTATTAATTCATGTATGGAGCTCTTTTTATTGAAATGAAGTGTGCAAATAGACATTGGGGTTAGGGGGGTGGGGTGGGGGTAAGCAGCTAGCAGCAAAGTACCTTTGAGATCTTCCTCTAAAGGAGGAGGTGCTTCAAACTACAAATGAAACAATTGTTTGATTTGGCGCCAGAACTGATTGTTACACTTTGCGGACACATATTGTTGAGGCATTGTATTTACAATTTTCTTATGCAACTTTTAACAAATTCCATATGTGAGAGTGTGATACTCTCACTGGGGAGGATAAACTGATCCATTTGTATGGTCAGGGTTAGAACTTGATGGACTTGAAATTGCTCCTCTATCACATGTAAATGCCTTTGAACATCACAGCTTTGGTTTTATGGGTGTTTGCCCTAATCTAAGCTGCAAGGGTTCAAATATTTGGACTCTCATATAACATTTTGTTGCTCCCTTTCTGTTATTGTTTGGGAACTTCTCACTCTCTCCACCAATTTGTGGTCTGAAATCATCTTCCAACATTGAATGAATCATTCTTTTGGGACTGTTGGTGCTACAACCTATGAAGCAGATATCGAACATACATATTGATATCTGATTAGAAATCATGGTGTTTATGCATATGTGTTCCATCAAACATCAAAATAAGTAAAAGTGGGTTGATGTTGTTCTATGGATATTATTATATTTAAATGATTTCTTTGTGATCTTTGCTAAAGTAATAAAATACCAAATTCTAATTTTTATATAGAAATTACTTCAAATAGGACTAAAACTATGGCAAAAACTCAAAATAGGACTTGTTATGTATTTTTTCCAAAATAGGACCATAGTGGTCCTATTGGAAACATACTCATTTCTTCCTTCCATTCTTACCCCTCCTTTAAATATTAGTAAAAGATAGCTAAAAGTCATAATTAAATGTTTAATTCATAATAAATTCGAAAAAATTTCAATAATTCGTAGAAAAATAATAAAAAAATTAATAAAATTTTTATAAAATAAAAAATAAGAAAAAAAAAAATTTTTTAATTTTTTTTTTAAAATTAATAAAAAAATAGTAAAACTCCATAAAAAAAATTAAAAAAAATATGGATACGTTTCCCACCTCCTGTACTACCTCCCTGAACCACCACCTCCGATCGGTGTAAAAAATGCCACTTTTTTTTTAAATTCCACAAAAATGGCATATTTCTCTATGAGAATGCCAACATTTTCATTCTGCCAACTTGAATCCTTTTGACTTTTGTCAAAAATATGGCATTCATAATTTTTTTGGCATTTTTTTACCCCGGTGACAGGAGGTGGTGGTACCGCCTCCCTGCACCACCACCTCCGACTGTTAAAAAAAAATGTCATATTTCCTACAAACTTCCATTTTTTTCGGAAAATGCCAAAAATATGGCATATTTCTCTTTGAGAATGCCAACATTTTTTTTCTTCCATCTTAAATCATTCTGAATTATGCCAAAAATATGGAATTCATAATAAATTTGGCATTTTTTCCCCAAATGACTAGAGGTGGTGGTGCTGGGGCGGTATAGGCGGCGGTGACAAAAAAATATTTTTTTGAATTTTTTTTTTTAATTTTTTTATTTTATTTTTATTATTTTTTTTTTTAATTTTTTTTTTAAATTTATTATTATTCAGAATATTTTTATTAATTTTTTGGTATATTTTACGAATTTTTATTATTTTTTATTATTTTATTATGAATTAAAACATTCCAATAGGTATAAGGGTATATTTGTCCAAGACAAACATAATTAGTCCTATGGAAACATAGTTTATTTTTTGGTCCTATTTGTACAAAGTGAATGACTTTTAGTCCTATTTTGATAATTAACTCATTTTTATATGGTACGGCTCTTAGAATTTTAATGGTCATTTGAAATTATTTGGTAAGTAATTTTTTGACTTTCCATTTTCCATCCATCATATAATACACAGTTGGAAGTTTTTAGGCTTCTTCTATATTATCTTTTGGAGTTTAAGGGAGTGTTTGCAATTGCTTCAACTTTAAAAAAGTGATTTTTTAAAGTGATTTTGGGAAAAGTGATTAATAGTAAAAGTTGGTAGTGTTTGAGAAAAAAGTGATTCTGAAAAAGTAAAAGTTGGTAATGTTTGGTAAAATAAGTACTTTTTGTGTAATAGAAAAAGTGAAAAGCAGTTTAAAGCACCCTTCCACCTACTTCCAGCTTTTAGCATTTAAGTGATTAATTTAAGCAGAAGCTGTCATTTGAAAACACTCTTTTTAGCTTTTTTTAAGCCAAAAGCTAAAAAACGCTTTTTTTAAGCAACCGCAAACACTGCTTAAGTATATTGGGTGATGCTTTTTTTGTTCTTCCGCTATTATATTAGCATTAAAACTTTATTTGCATGAATATTTTTTCACATTATTAGTAACTAAACAGTTAACTCTAAAATCTAGATTTATAGCATGTTACTATAGGCTACTGCTATAATTAATTGGTAACACCTTTGTAATACCCAAAAAGTATGTGTGCATTATTAACATTTGATTTTAGTTATTTTAAAATCCCGTGCAATGCACGGGTGCAGGACTAGTGCTGTGTAAGACATTCTAGTCAAAGCGGTTACACTCAAAGGGGTGTAGGACTAGTGTTGTGTAAGACATTCTAGTCAAAGGGATTACATTCTAGTCAGAAGACATGGAATCTCCCCTTTCAGGTTTAGTCTATTAGTTGGCCTCTAGTGTAATGCCGTAATGGTGTACTATCACTCATCCAGTTATCCAAGTACAAGGATATTCCTTTCACCTTCTGTCACCCTCCATAATTATCTCATTACTTTTTTTGCACATTCCATTGGTTCAACACTTGAAGGCCTGTCTATTGCTCCGTAATTTTCTCAAGGGAAGTTTTGACGGTTTTTTGAAGGTACTATGAGTTAGGACCAGATGACCCTCCTTATGCTGCCAAGTTTTATGACTGCTGTGGTGCTGAAAATCCTGAGGCAACTGGGTGTAAAGTAGACTTCCATAGTTCATATGATGATGACATACATGGAGCTTCATAATCTATGTACTTTCTTCAGTCTTCACTGCAAGTTAGAATGATCTGCAAGTAAATCAGTTCTTTTTATATGCAACTTGTTTGTAATGTTTAAGGAGAAAATGTGTAAACAACAGTAGGTCTGATATGTGATATTCCTATTAAGATTACACCAAAACTTATATTTGGAGATCCTATATCCTCCAATTTACTAGTGGTGGACCCAGGCCATGGACCACCGCCTGTAACCGGTACAGGAATTTCCTAGCATTTTTGCAGTTCTGGTTCCGGTCAAATACCAATTGTGGTCCGGTTTTGCTCTGTTTTAAAGAAACAGAATCGATAGAATTGGACCCACTTTGGAGGAGCTGGAAAAATACTCGGGGGTAAGGCCAGTTCTGGTCCGGGTATAAAAGAACAGGTCAGCGGTCCGGTCTTTTACTCAGCAGGTTCTGGCCAGTGTGATCCCGGAACTGGCTCCACGCCTATAGGGGTACCCGCTACAACTGGGAAGTGATGGGCGTGATTGAGTATAGGTTAAACCAGACGGGTAACAGGTAACCAAATTTAATATGGGCTCTTTCCATTCTTTATGCGAAACGAAATTGGGCTGAGTGATATTACAATATAGTGAGTATTTGAGTAACATATATGGGCTGGTCCAGAGAGGGTAATAGCTTGCATTGCTTTCTCTAGGTTTATTCGAGTATTACAGATATGTAGTGCTGAATAGTTGTAGTCTTTCTCTTGAGAAATTGCTGCAGCAGTAGCGGTTTGTATTCGTTCGCTGTGAAGATTGGATATTCAGGCGGGTGTAGATGCCTTAAACATGCTGATGGTCCTTATAATGTAAGACTGATCAAATGAAGATGCCCTAAACACGATTTTGGGCTTAAAATGTGACTATCTAAGAGTGGGAGGCATAGTTGCTGTTAGGACTAAGATTTTGAATTTGAGTTGACCAAATAAATATACTATTTAAATTTGGGAGATTCTCCTAAATAGGACTTTTTTATCATTAAGCCAACAAATATATTAAATCAACAAAATGTTTGTCACTTGGTTGACAATCAGAGAAAAAGTAGGAAACAAAAGGATAAAAAATCTTTTATCTGATGTCCGTGCGACCGCGCCCTTGAACGAGAATTTAAAATCTATCACCTTTGTAGAAGTAATAAAATTCGCTGATCCTGTAAAGAGCGCTAGGCCAATGATAGGCAAACAAGATTTCATCACTTGACGGTCCTGACCTAAATTCTAGAATCTTTCTGCTGGAAAATAAGAACACACTCAAAATAACATGCAATTCGAAAGAAAAACACAAACAAAACAAAACGGAATTAAAACA